GAAAGAAAGAACAAAGTCATTAAATGCCAGAAGAAAATATTGGTAAATACACGATGTTGGGCTTGAGATAGACTATCAATACGGTCTCAAAGACAGAAATCATCATGAAAAGATGGATAGATTTATTTATATCAAAAAAATTCTAAAGTTTGTATATCTGCATACATAAATTAATAAGGTTGAAAGACAAATACCAAGCATGTTATTAGATAAATGACAGACAATTCTTAAACATATAAAGTACTTTCACAAATAAGATGAAAAGGAATACTTTATACAAAAATGGGTTAAGGCATGGACCTTGGATGCCAAAGAAGACATCCAAATAGCATATAGCATGGAAAAAATGTTTACATCATTAGGAATCAATGGAATGCACATTAAAAGGACAGTGAGAAATCTTTCATCCTAGCAAAGTTTTAAATATTGGAAGTAATTTTAATCTTGCATTTCAAGAATGTTGCATACCAGAGTGTTAACAGTGGATTAATTATCTTTGGGTAATGAGTTAAAGGTGCTTTTCTCTTTTTTGTTTTATTTTTTCTTGGTATTACTAGTCTGGCTTGCAATAAAGGAATAATAGTTTGTGCTGACTCTTGGAAAAATGCTCAACTGAAATCTCTGGAGAACTCATCTCTGGGGAGTGAGCAAAGGATGCATCGAAGCGGTGGCCTTCCTCTTGGGCCTGGCTTGCAGATGGCAACCCATATAGCATCATCTTGGCCCCCAACTTCAGGACCTGGGGCCGGGTGGCTGCCATTTGGACAAGAGGCATGAGACCAAGACAGGGAGACCACTCAGTAAGCTGGAGCATAACAATCCAGGAGGCAATTTATGAAAATAACACTCTAGAACTTGGTGTGACTATTCTCTTCAAGCAAAAAAAAAAAAAAAAAAAAAAAAAAAAAAGTTAAAGGCATCTCTGTTCATGTTCTGTGGGAAGAAAAGCTGGGTTGCCAGAGAAGAAATAAAGTAAGTGGAGCCCATGGATGAAGAAAATGCTGAGCTAGTTTTGTCGAAGTAGAACAGGGAAAGGAAGATGCTACAGTTGTCTACACTGGGGTGATTTCAGATTCAGAACCTGTCAATTCCATCATTTGGAACTGCCTGGCACATGTTAAAGAAAAATGAAAGGTCACTTTAGTCAAGGTACCACCTGTCCATTGCAGCCAAATCTGTGACCCTTACCAAATCCTGCGGCCATTTTGCCTGGCTTGCAACCTGAATCAAATCGAGATCAGCAGAGAACTGCATGGTCTGTTGAGCTTCTGTCTACACCTGGTTTTAAAACAATTTGAGCTTCACAATTCTTCGGTTACACTCCCTTTACCTCAGGATTCAGCTTCTGGTACTTCCTCTGGGAAGTGTTGATGAAAGTCTTTCTGTATCCAAGCATCTTCTACTTCTGGAGAAAACTGAGTTACCTTGGGTTGGGTTGCCCAACAGACTGCCAACAGACTCTGAGATTCTCTGTGTGCAGGGTTTTTGGGGTGCGATGGAGGGGTCATCGGAGATGACATCTATAAGTAAAGGACAGAGAACTGGACAGAGGGAGAAGTGGTGCTACTCAGCCAATCCTATGGAGAGCTGTGGAGCTGGAGTTGCCTTGCTGGGTTGTCCTCAATTGAGGCACAAGGGTTTGTATCTCCTTTGTATCTCCTAAATCCATCAGTCACTGGATGCATGTTGTCCCTGGGGAGAAGGCATATTCTTGGATGAGGCAGGTTATATCAACCTCAGCCAAGGGAAGTCTCCAGGGAAGAAGGCAGCTGAATTGCCCTCGCAGACTGTTGAGGAAGAAAAGAATGTCCTGAGGGAAGTGGGCTTGCTGGAACCAGAAGACAGACAGAGGGTTATGCTCCACAGGAGTCCCAAAGGACAGACCATACACAACGGCAATGAGAAATGTCCTCATGAGAGAGGTATCAGCATGCCTATGAAGTTCAGAGGGGGCTCTCTTCTGCAGGCCTGGGATGATGGGAAGAGAAGCAATCACAGGACTGGGGTTGGTAATATCTTGGTTGGTAATGACAGCATCCTGAAGCAATAGAAGCCAGGTGGTGGCTTTAGCCACGAGAAGCCTGGAGGCTGTAATTACTATAATAGCTGGCAAGTTAAGAGGGGCTGCACAGGGGACCTGATCGTCAGAGGCTTTTAAGGTATTTAATAGTACAAGGTGTCTCTAGGGGGAAAATAGACAGGCAGCCAGTAGGGTGCTGCTTAATATCTATTCAAAAAGAAGGCAAGAATAGAGAAGCAGGAGTCTGACAGTGGTTGCTCTAATAAAAAGGTCATGCTTCTTGCTGAGTTCTCAGATCTGAGTCAATCTTCAGACCAAGACCACAGAATCCATTGACTAAAGAGGGGGTTGAGTCCTTAGGCAGGACCCTGCAACCCTGAAACAAACATTTACTACAGTGATTACTCTATGGCCTATGACCATTTTCACAGCTAACTATACGTTGGGGAAACAAACACCCAGAAATTTTGCAGGACCTGAATGAGTTTTGTTACCCAGAAACCCAAAGTGTTTTCATGGCCCCTCTGTAAAGTGGGGACTTATGGAGGTCAGGTAATAAACAGAGTCCTGGATAATATCCAGCTTACCTTGAGTCCATGGGAACATAGACCCATCCACTGGTCTTACCTCAGCCCCTGAGTGCATAATTGGGACTATATATTGAGAGCAAGCTCCACATTATGTCCCTGGTCTTGAGTTCATGGTGGAGAAAACCAAGTGAAAGCCACTAAAACTGTCCCTTCCCTACTGAGTTGAGATAATCAGCCAAAGCAATATTTCATCCAAGGGGAAAGGATGATGATGGTAGAGATTAATGCCACCATTAAAGACCTAAAGGATACAGGGTAGTTGTTCCTCTCACATCTTCATTTAATTTGCCAGTCTGGCTCCTTCAGAAACCAGGAGAATAGTTTATAGAAAACTGTGGATTTAACTACATAGCAGACCTGATGATAGTCATTGTACCATCTTGGTGATCTGTCTTAATACAGATCTCCAGTCCAAAGGGATCTTGACCATCTGTACATCCCAGAGAACCGCACCCCATCTGTTATACTGATAACAACATGCTAACCAGGCATCCTGAGCAAGAGATAGCTCGTATATTGGAACATTTGGTGAGGCACATGCACTTCAGATAAACCCATGAAGATTCAGGGACCTGCCACTTCAGGTTTTTTGTTTTTGGGTTTTTTTTTTTTAGATTTTTAATTTATTTATTCATGAGAGACACACACACACACAGAGGGAAAGACATAGGCAGAGGGAGAAGCAGGCTCCCGGCAGGGAGCCCGATGCAGGCCTCGATTCCAGGACCCCAGGATCACGACCTGAGCTGAAGACAGACGCTCAACCACCGAGCGAACCAGGAGTCCCTGCTGCTTCAGTGTTTAGGGAACCAATGGTCAGGGATCTGCCAAGATAGTTTCTTCAAAGTAAAAGACAAGTTTATAAAACACAAATAAGGGAGGCAAAGAAAACATTGCTTATAATCTTGTAAATCCTCTAAAACTGTTTATAGTGTTTATCAAGATGTTTTTCATCATGCATTGAAAATACATATAACATACTGCTGTAGCATCATACCGCTATCTGATACCGTGTTTATTTACCTGTTTGCTTGCTGACTGCCTAGATTTCCTCGCTGGGATACAAGCTCCATGAACGTCACATCTCTACCTGGTTCCCTGCTGTACCCCTGGCACCTAGAACGCCCTTGGTGCTGGCTATTTTTTGGTGGCATAAATGAAACATACTATACACATTGCTTTGTGGCTAGCTGGTTTCCAGTAGCTTCCAGATGCTTCAGGTTATACTTCATTGTTCTCAAAATGTGCCATTTCAGAGGTCACGCAAAAGCAGAGAATTCTCTCCCTCCAAAGACTGCTTCTATCATTGCAACTTCACAACCAAGAAACCTTCGTCCTTTGGCAGCCCTCGAGTCTCCTTCGCTTTGGCCAGGACTGCCTGAGAATCTTGAGCAGTCACAGCTTTGCCTGGATCATTCTTTTTTTTTTTTTTTTTTTTTAAGGCAATATATAACGCTGTATTAATTAATTAATTAATTATTTACTTATTTATTTTTTAATTTTTATTTATTTATGATAGTCACACACAGAGAGAGAGAGAGGCAGAGGGAGAAGGCAGAGGCAGAGGGAGAAGCAGGCTCCATGCACCGGGAGCCCGACGTGGGATTCGATCCCTGGTGTCCAGGATCGCGCCCTGGGCCAAAGGCAGGCACCCAGGGATCCCTATTTATTTATTTATAATTGGAGTTCAATTTTCCAACATATAGCATAACACCCAGTGCTCATCCCATCAAGCCCATCAAGGATCATTCTTTAGAGGTCCCGAGAGTCAGGTTCCAGGACAGGAGTGAGGACCATCCAGGGCCGACCGCCCAGCCCGCAGCCACGTCCCTCCTCCGGCCGCGCGGGGGCGCCAGCGCGCCAGAGTGGCTCCCGGTCCGCGGCCGCGGGGAGGGCCACTCTGGGCGGGTGCGGCGACTGCCCGCGGTGGGCGGAGCCAAAGGCGCCCGGGCCCGGGCAGAGGGCAGGAAGTGAGGGGGCGGGGCTTCTGGGGCGGGCTGTGCGCTTGCGCAGGAGCCCGGCCGGGGGAGTCTCGGCGTTCGCCGCTGCTGGGGTCTGTCCTGGCGGGGCCGCCTCCGCCCTTGGTTTAGGAGTTGGGGTGGGAGAACTTCCAGGGGGAGGCTGAGGGGGGCACTTGGGGGCAGGGGCGTCCGGCGTGGGCGGGCAGGGGGCAGGGGGCGAGGGGAAGAGGAGGGGGGGGAGGGTCCAGCCTCGCCGCCCCCCCCCCCCCCGGGGATGCGCTGGGGCCCCGGGTGCTGCGCTGCCCACCTGGGAGGTGTAAGTGCGCAGGTGGACTTGGTGTCCGGGGGGTGCCCAGCCTCTCCCCTCTGCCTTTCTTTCTCATTTTCGGCTTTTTATTTTTTTAAAAATTTTTAAATTTTATATTTTTTAATTTTTTAGAATTTTTAATTTTAAATAGTATTGACGCAGCGTGGGGTTGCCTCGGACCGACACCTTCACCTGCGGAAAACCGCTTCTAGCGGCCTAAAGCGACTCGGGGGGCGGGGGGGCCCTCCCTTAGCTTCGCAAAGTTTCCCTCCTAAACCCTGTGCCGCGAAGAGCTGAGCACGTCCTCGTCTCTAAACGGTTCTAGGCAGTTGTGATAATTTCTTCACGAACCTGTCTGCAAGAGGTCGCTTTAAAAAAAAAAATTATTTTTTTAAAAAGATTTTTTAATTTTTATTTTTTTTTTGAGATTTTATTTATCATTCATTGAAAGACACAGAGAGAGAAAGGGGAGAGATACAGGCAGAGGGAGACGCAGGGAGCCCGACGCAGGACTCGATCCCAGGTCTCCGGGGTCACGATCTGGGCTGCAGGCAGGTGCTCAACCACTGAGCCACCTGGGCTGCCGCCTCCCCCCCCCACCCCCACCCCCACCCCCGGGCCAAGAGTCACTTTTTATGGCTTTTAAATAATGCCACTGACCTGTGTAGAACAGAGCAGCAGTTTAACTGCACCATGGAGCCTCAATGAGAAATTTTAGTCCAGGGTTGGGGGGGTTGCGATGAAGACCCCTCATTTGGAATTCAGGGATTGATCAACTATCACCACTGCCACCGATGCCGTGTGGCCCTCGCTCCAGTGATGCAGACTTAAAACATGCATCAGATCGGCCACAGGGAAGGGGTGCGGTCTGACATTTGAAAGCTTGAAACCCAAGTCTGTGCCTTCCTATTTATTTATTTATTTACTTACTTATTTATTTATTTAAAGGCTTTCCATCATGTGTACACTTTGCTTGAATGATTAAAGTACATGTCCTGTTTTTTTTTTCTTTTTGCCAGTCTGACAGCTGTTTCCATAGAAACTAGAGAAGAAATAGTCATTTTCAGCAGAGTTGTGAAAACCGTCTTCCAGGCTTCAGCCGTGAGCGCCAGTGAGTGCTGTACTCGCTCATTCTGAGACGGTACTTAAAGGAACTCAGGATCTGAAATGTTCTTAGGGTAACCATCCAGATTGTTTAATTTTCCTCACCTCGTTAATTTAGTAGTCTTAGAGGTTTGCCAGCTATGTTTGTTGGCCTGGCACGGTTCTTTGAAGAGGATGTGTCAACCCTGATTCTTTTTTAGGCCGGGTGTAGCCTGGTGTTGGCTCTTGGAAGATGTATAAATAGATTTCTTTCCCCTTTCTTGAGGATAAACCATGCATTGCAAAATATCAGGCACTGTTTCTGTTGTAAATGACGCTTGATTGTCAGTGATACAAATGAAAATGTTTTTAGTTATGTTCATGTGATGTTTGGAGCTTTTGCTTATACCTTCTGGGAGAGACTTTTTTTTTTTTTTAAAGATTCCACATAAGTCTTGAGGGATGATCAAGAGTTGCTTGCTGTAATTACAGAGCTAAGCAGTGTAATAAATGTGCATAGAAATAGAGATGAGAGCTTTTCTGAGGGGTGTCGGTAAATCAGTGGGTCTGGAGCTTAGGAATGGGTAGGAGCTGGGGGAAGGTGCCTGGAGAAGTAGTGGGAGGTGGCATCGTGAGAGGCCTGGTCTTCCATGTAGAAGAGTTTAGTGAAACCGATAGAAACTGTTGGAAATTATTAAAATAGTTGTCTTTTTGGTTTTGGGGCTTATAAGAGAAATAATACATCATTGTAAACATTTAAACAGCAAAGAAATACATGAGACGAGAATACTAAATCCTTTACACCTACCATTTTGCCACTGAAAGTAATCACAATGAGTGGTTTGCTACGTTTTACTTTAGATTTTTAATTTCTATTTGTATATACTAGCATATTTCAGCATTACTATTTTTTGCGAATTGGGCAGAGATTTTTGTCTTCTTTATTTTCTGTGGTATCTCCAGCATCCAGAATGGCATGTGATATGGCATGTAGGAGGCACTCATTAAATATTTAATGAATGAATAACATCATTCAGAGGTCAAAAACTGAGTGGAGTCTGGTGTATGTGTTTGGCCGAGGTGGTTAAAAACTTTGTTTTCTTTTTTAAGTTTGTTGCCAGCATTTTAAAACTGATAACTTTAACAAAAAGTTTGAATTACTGTCTTTTCTTGAAAATATTGAACTGTTTGATAACACTAAGCTCAAGTTCCATTACACTTGCACCTTCCTTGTATGGGCATGAATTTGCATTTATATCAGTATGGCTTTGCCTGGACCCTACAGACTGGACCCAACAGTGCACTGTTAACTACAGTAGCACTAGTCACCGATGGCCATTTTGTTTTAAATTAACTAAAGTTAATTAAAAATTCTGTTGCTCAGTCACACCAGCCGCATTTCAAGTGATATAGTACAGTAGCCATAGATGGGAGATACCATATTGGACAACACAGACACATTTCCATAATTGTAGACATTTCTGTTGTGCAGGGCTGGTTTACACATCTGAGTTTGCCGTTCCTGACCTACAGAATTCTTGCAAGTAGCATTTGTTGTTATTTTTAAGGTTTGTGTCTCCTTGTCATTACACAAATCTCCATTTTTAAAAATGGCTGCATAGTATTTAGCATTGTAGGGCTTCATGTGAGTTGTGGGAATAGGATTCTGTTATCTGATTTTGCATTTTAGAAAGACTGCTTTAGTTCTTGTTTGGGGGTGAGAAATGAACTAGGCAGATAGGAGTTGGTTGTTTAATAGGCAGAGGCATTGGAGGGTACGTAGTAATCTACAGCCGAAAGCCACAGAGTCCGGGAAGGGCTAGGTTGAGATAAATTGACATGACTGATTTAATGTGGATTGAGGTCTTTTGTATGGTAAAGTCACTGCAGAGATAATCCAGTACTAATCTGGAACTGATTCAGTGTTGAAAATTGGGAATTCAGCTTTGCAAAGTCTAGAAGAAACCCTTAGCTAATTCTAGTAAGCAGCATGTATAATATTAAAATGTTACCAGCTTGCATGTAAAACAAGTGTAACTGTTTTATGCCCTGTAATTTTTTTTTTTAAGATTTTATTTATTTATTCTTGAGAGACACACAGAGAGAGGCAGAGACATAGGCAGAGGGAAAAGCAGACTCTCTGCGGGGAGCCGGATGCTGAACTCTATCCCCAGACCCCTGGGGTGTGTTCTGAAGGCAGACCCTCAACAGCTGAGCCACCCAGGCGTCCCTGCCCTATAACTTAAGTTTAAGTTTCTTAGATACAGAAACCCTTTGAGAGAGAATTGTTTGAGGAAGAAAGTATAAGGTCATAAAGCTCAGTTAAATTTAGGAAGTACAATGGATTCTTGGGAACTAGGGAAGTATGAATCTTGCTCCCTCTCTTTCTTTCCCTGAGGCTTCATGATCTTTTATTTTATGCACATTGATTCCATTGTCCTTTTTGTTGATCCACTTCTCTTTTGCAAAGGTTTTTGTTTGCAGTTCTTGCTTGCAGATTGCTTTGTGTTGCCATGACACCAACTATAACCCCAGTTTATACATGCCCTTACGCCTTTGCCTGATACTGCCTCACCAAAGGTCTTTTCTATGTCAGATATCCTAGCTCTGTGGCCAATGGCAGGGGTCACTGGGGAAGAGTGACAGTCGGCCTATCCCTTAAATTGAGGTTTTAGGATGCCCTTATAAAAGGGGAGTGCGATTGAGCAAGTATCTGAAGCTTACCTCCTATAGTAAAAGAATGTGGATTTGTGTTGTTTTTGCAGTTTGACTTCTAGCAGATGACTTTTTTTTTTTTAAAGATTTTATTTATTTATTCATGAGACAGAAAGAGAGACACAGGCAGATGGAGAAGTAGGCTCCCCGCAGGAGCCCGATGTGGGACTGGATCCCAGACCCTGGGGTCATGCCCTGAGTCAAAGGCAGACACTCAACCGCTGAGCCACCCAAGCGTCCCTGACTTTCTGTTTTTAAACCTTAAGTATACTTTCCCATTTGAAACAGTTTTTTTCTGCATCTGCCCAAATGGCCTAAAAAATAATAGTTGCCTTGAACTATTCTGCTATTCATGGATGTCCTTTCTTTTTAAAAAAATTTATATAGTGCATAACACTTAATGAAGAACTATATTGTCCGCTACTAAGTAGTCTTCTTAGGTACCTGTGCCCTCCTCAATTAGATAACATCCATGAGGGCAGGGATTGGATTTTATGCTGCATCTGTAAGTCACAAGTCACCTAGCCAATGAAGAACCTTACTAGCTACTAAAATTTAGTTTTGAAATGATTTCTAGGCTTCGGTTTGATTCAAAAAAAGAAAAGAAAAAACCTAGAAAGTATCTTGTTAATGACATCAGATTATTATGTATCAAGTTTGGACTCTGATTTAAAATGGATAGTAATTCCAAAAGGTTAACTTGGAGTTAATGTTTACTTAGCATGCCCTTTATTCACATTATATGTTAATAATGCAAGGGTGGAATGTATAAAGTATATAAAAGTTTTGAGTGACTTTCAAATAATTTGCTGTATAGTTAATAGGGTTTTTTAAAACTGGTGTTCTGAAGCATCTTTCTAGATAATATTGTATTAGTCTAGTTTGAGTTAGATTTACATATTTTCCTCCAACTTTTATTATGAAGATTTTGAAACAGAAAAACCAAAAATATTTATTATTACTATTATTATATTATTTATTTATATTTATTATATTTATTTTTTCCGAAAAAAAAATTTAATGAACACATGCATAACCACAATTTAGATGGATGTTAATATTTAACTGCATTGGCTTTATGGGGTGTGTGTTTGTGTGTGTGTGTGTATTTGTTATACAATTTGAAAGTAAATTTTATTCATCATAAAAACATACTTCAGTAAGTACTCAGGTGTAAGATATTCACCTACATAACCACATCATTATCACCTAATAAGCAGTACTTAACCTAAAATAACCTAAAAGTAAATCCATGTGCAAATTCCCCCAATAGTACCAGTTGTCCTCTACAGCTGATTTTTTTTCCTTCAAACCAAGATCTATTCAGAGTCCATACATTGCATTTGATTGTTCTTTTTTTAGTATCTTTTGAAAAATAGCTTAAGTGATGTATAATTGATGTAAAATGAATTGTATGTATTTAAGCTGTGTATTGTAAGTTTTGTCACATGTGTGCACCTGTGAAACTAACACCACAATCAAAATAATGAACATACTCATTACCTCCAAACTTTGTAATTCCTTTCCTGATCTTCTTTACCTTCCTGTCCTCAAGCAATCATTGATATCTCTGTAACTATAAATTATTTAGCATTTTCTACAGTTCATATTATAGAGCTGGAATCATAGAATTATGCATGTTTTTGGAGGAAGTATGGTCTGGCTTCTATCACTTGATAGTATATAGAGATAAAATTGCTTTTGTATATTGCTTTTGTATCCTACCCCCTTGCTAAAATCCTTGTAATAACTTTTCTGTAGATTCCTTTGGATTTTTTATACAGATGGTCATGTTATATAGGCATATATAGGCATAAAGACCATTTAGCTTTTATGTTTCTTGTCTGGATGCCATTTATTTAGTTATGCATTTATTCTGTTGTATTGTTGAGGATCTCCAGTACAATATTGCATTTAAGCGGTGAGAGCAAACATCCTTGCTTTGATCCTAAACTTAGGCAAAAAGTATAGTCTTTAACCAATAAATATGCTGTTGGTTATAGTTTTCTGTAGATGTCTTAGTTTACTGAGAGGGTTTTTTTTTTTTTAATCAGGGTTGGATGTTCGATTTTATCAAATGCTTTTTCTATATCTACTGAGATGATCATGTGGTGTTTCTTTTTCAATAAATAGGGTAGATTACATTGATTTATGAATTTTTTACTCAAATTTCCATTCCTGGAACACATCTCAGCTGGTCATGATGTAGTCTTTTTACATATTGTTAAATTTGATTTTCTAAAATCTTTTTTTTTTTTAAAGATTTTATTTATTCATTCATAGAGACAGAGAGAGAGGGAGGGAGGGAGGCAGAGACACAGGCAGAGGGAGAAGCAGGCTCCACGCAGGGAGCCTGACGTGGGACTTGATCCCATGTCTCCGGGATCAGGCCCCGGGCTGCAGGTGGCGCTAAACAGCTGCGCCTCCAGGGCTGCCCTAAAGTCTTAAGTTTTGTGTCTGTGTTCATGAGAGATACTACTCTATCGTCTTCTTGTAATTTTTTTCCTGGCTTTAGTATCATAGTAATGCTGATCTTATGGAATAAAATGCAAAGTATTCCTTTCTTTTCAGTTTCCTGGAAGAGTTTGAATAGAATTAATTATTAATTCTTAAATGTTTGATAGAGTTGCCCAGTGAAGCTGTTTGGGCCTGGAGCTTTCTTTGTGCGAAGGTTTTTAAACTATGAGTTCAATTAAAAAAAATAGATATAGGGCTCTTCAGATGTATCCATTTCTTTCTGAGTTAGCTTGGTAGTTTTTGTTTTTCAAGGAATTGGTCCATTTCATCAAGGATGTCAAATTTAAGATTTTCTCTTCCACTGGTTTTAAGAAATTTGATTAAGATATGCCTTGAAGTAAGTTTCCTTTGTGTTCATTGTTTGTGTGGCTTTTAAATTTCATGGATTTGTAGGTTTATAGTTTTCATCAAAGTTGGAAAATGTTGTCCACTATTTTTTCAAGTATTTTTGTTTACCATCCCTCCCCTCTTTTCAGGGACTCCAGTTATACATGCATTAGGCCACTTGAGTTATCCTATACTTCACTGATGCTCTGTGCCTTTTTTTTCCCTCTTAGTTTTCTTGGTTTCTATTGATATGTCAAGTTCACAAGTCTTTATTTCATTGTTATGGTATCTAGTCTGTTAGTCTCATCCAATGTAATTTTCTTGTTTAATTTTTTTTTTTTTTTTTTTTAGATTTTGTTTATTCATGAGAGATACACAGAGAGAGGCAGAGACATAGGCAGAGGGAGAAGCAGCTCCCTGAGGGAGGAATCTGATGCAGGACTCAATCCCAGGACCCCAGGATCACGCCTAGAGCCAAAGGCAGTTGCTCAACCACTAAGTCACCCAGTCGTCCCTCATCCAATATAATTTTCATCAAAGACATTGTAGTTTTCTTGTCTAGAAGTTGAGTGTAGTTCTATTAAAGAAACATATTCCATGTCTCTACTTTAAATTCTCAGATTTTTCTTTTAAGTTCTTAAAGACATGGAATGTAGTTGTAATAACTAATATCCTTACCTATCAATGCTGTCATTCATGTTACTTAGGAGTGAGTTTTTATTAATATTTTTCATACTCATGGTTCACATATCCTATATCTTTGCTGCCTGGTAATTTTTAATTATAAATTGTACCTTATTAAATGGTGGTTTTTTTTCTTTTTTTTTTTATATTCTTGTAACTAATTTTGAGCTTTTTTCTAGGATGTGGAGAAATTCCTTAGAAACAGTTTGATCATTTTGAGTATTGCTTTTAATCTTTGTTAGGTAGGGTCAGAGTAGCTTTTAGTCTGGGACTAATATTTCTCTAATGAGGTAAAACCCTTCTGAGTACACTGGTGCCCCAGGAATTCAAAGGTTTTCCACTTTGAAAGATAGAAATTGGCACTACACTCTGCCCTCCTTGAGCCCTGAATTTTGCTCCTCTAATCCTGTCAGGTGATTCTTTCCCATCTCCAGGGACTTTCCTAACATGAGTGCCCTGTTTAGAACTGAGATGAGTACTGGAGGCAGATTTTCCTGCACAACACCCTCTGGAATTCTTTCCCTGCACAGTCTTCTCTTGTATTCCATTCTGTGGGGTCTAGCTACTGTGGCCTGCTTGAACTCCCAGCTTCATCTCTCCAATTTAGGAGTGCTGTTGGGCTGGGCTAGGCTTCCCCTCTCTACATAGTGGCCTGGAAACTCTCCAGGCAGGAAGCAGGGGCAATTGTAGGGCTCATCACATTTGTTTCCCATCACTCAGGGGTCACTGGTCTTCATTGTCTAACGTCTAATGTGTTGAAACCATTGTTTTATTATTCTGTTTGTTCGGTGGAAGGATAAGTCTGGTTCCTTTTATTCCATCTTGCCCCCATTCAGAAGTGTGAGGATTATATTTGAAAGGATCAGGTTTCTATTTTAAAAAATACATTTTAAAACTTAGATTTTACTATTCCTTTACATGCTTTTTCCTCCTACTTACTGCCAGTTCCTAAAACCTGTGATTATTTTTGCTTAATCCATTTCTTAATTCTCCTTTAATTTAGCTGTTAAAATAAAAACAGACTTCCCCCAACTAAAACTCAAAAACGAAAAGAAAAAATCCAAGTTTCTAGAGTATGTGTCAGAGTAAAAAAAAGTGGGTAAAACCTGTTTGTTTTGCATTGCCGACAGGCATTACTGAGGGATGTGGTGAAAACTTAAGGTAATTCAGTCTGAGATGTGTTAAGGGAAGAACAATTGACACACCTGTTTCTTAAGGGTTATGTTCCAGGCTTTGTAAATAAGTGTTTTCCAGAGATATTTATAACTTATTTTTTTGTGTGTGTGTGTTCCAGATAATCAAGGAGAAGAAAGATGAGCTTCATCTGTGGACTGCAATCTGCTACTAGAAACTGTGTTTTCTTCCGAATACATTTGCTGACCAACTGGCGAAGATGTAACACACTAACTGTGACCTCACCAGACTGTCATCAAGTACAAATTAGTCAGATAGTTAATAAGTGTCAGGGTCTGGAAGTGAATCAGTGTGATAGGTTGACTTTTCTGCCTGAAAATTTTTATTTCTGTAGGACTTTTAATAACAAACGACCGAAATGCCTCTTGAGCACGAGATGTAAGGAATTTGGGATGGTTACCCCAAACTGTACTGCGTGGAATGGCTCTTTTTCGAGACAGCTACTGATAAAAGAAGTTGCAGAAGTTCCTGCCCTTTCACTATTGCATCCTTTAAACTGTCTTCCCAAAAGAGACACCAGGAGTTTCCACACTTCTCCTCGGTTTCAAGCTGCTCCAGTTCCTCTCTTGTTGATAATTCTTAAACCAGTGCAGAAACTATTTGCAATCATTGTAGGCAGGTAAAAAGCTTTTAAAAAATAAACTTTTATATTAAAAACTATATTTTTATTATAAACTATATTTTTAATGAAAACTTGTTAGATTTCCCATATTTAGCTCAAAATTAAGTTTCTGAACAGTTGGTTCTACCCAGTTTTGTTAAGTATGTTTTAGTAATCTTGAAATAATTTACTGCATATTATTTTTTTAAAGATTTTATTATTTATTTATTTATTTATTTATTTATTTATTTATTGACAGTGCAAGGGATAGAGAGAGAGAGAGAATCCTAAGTATACTCTGTGCTGAGCATGGAGCCTGACACAGGGTTCGATCCCATGACCCTGAGATCAAGAACTGAGCCAGATTCAAGAATAGAATGCTTAACTGACTGAGCCACCCAGGTGCCCTCATTTATTGTATATTATAGTATAAAAATATCTCTAAGAAATTTTATAGACACTTTTTATAGGATCTTATGTTTATGATTATAAGAATGAGAATGTTGGTTATGGCTTGTGTGTAAGAATAGTAACAAACATGTTAAGTTTATGGAATCTGAGGCAATGGGTCATGAAACTGAAGAACTTCACTTTTTTAAGAATGGGCTCCTTCCTAGCCAAGTTAACACTTAATTGCTATTTATTTTTCTTTTATTTAAAATTTTTTTTATCAATTTATTCATGAGAGACACACAGAGAGAGGCAGAGACATAGGCAGAGGGAGAAGCAGGCTTCCTGCGGGGAGCCTGATGTGGGACTTGATCCCGGGTCTCCAGGATCACACCCTGAGCCAAAGGCAGTTGCTCAACCGCTGAGCCACCCAGGTGTCCCTAATTAGTATTTATTTATTTCTTCTATTTCCAGCACATCTTTGTTATTTTCTCTTGGGTACTCTTTCATAATAATTACATTTTTATAGCTAAATAATACTTTAATTTAAACCTTCTCCCCTAAATAATCTTGTTTTCTCTTATTTGCTCCATGAAGATTGAAGAAAGGTAAAGTTAAGCATTGTTTCTTCATCAAGCTTTCTTATATTTGATGACTATGAAGGCCCTTCTAGCCTTCCTCCTCCCATACTAACAAAACCAATTTTCTTTTTATCAGAAATTGAGAACTTGTACTCTCTAATGTATTGTGTTCCTAAGATTTGACATTGGCACTCAGAAAAAATACAGCTGTGTTAGCTCTTTTTTTTTTTTTTTTTTTTTTAAGATTTTATTTACTTATTCATGAGAGACAGAGAGAGGCAGAGACACAGGCAGAGGGAGAAGCAGGCTCCACACAGGGAACCCGATGTAGGACTCCATCCTGGGTCTCCAGGATCAGGCCCTGGGCTGAAGGTGGCGCTAGCCGCTGAGCCACTGGGGCTGCCCCTGTGTTAGCTCTGAATGTAAGTAATGGCTGTCAAAGAAAATCAGAGCTAGCCCACAGTTAAAGCAGTAAACATTTTATGCAGGACTGTTGCAGTAGGGGAAGAGACCTAAGTATAGAACCAGAGTTAATTTTGAATACAGCATGGGTAAGTGGGAATTTATAGCCAAGGTGAGGTTTGGTGGATGGAAAATTAGTAAGAGAAAATATCAGGAGTACAGGGTGGTTCTCCCTGAGCTGACCCTACGAGGCTTTTTGCTGAAGGCAGGTGAGGGTCAGACATCACTTGGAGGCTGGTGAATGATGAGGAACCTGATCAGATTCTGAGGGTAATCAGATATGAAGGGTGGGGGGTTCTGGCTAAACTGATTTAGCGGGATTCTTGCTGAAAACTGGACAATGAAGAGATGAAGATACAGAAGTCCAAAGGTGAGAGGCCTAGTTGAAAAAAGTTCAGGGGAGCCTGAGTAGAGTCTGATGAAAGAGAGAATCTTTGTCACAACTCAGCCCAGGTTCTTAGGCCAATGGCTCTTTTCATCCTTTTTAATCATTATTTTTAACTTTTTGTTGTTTTTACTATTATAATGGCATTTTTTAAAGCTGTGTTATCATCTTAATTTTAAGCAGAAAATAAGTCACATATAGTTAGTTTTTTTTTTTTTTTAAAGATTTTATTTATTCATGAGAGACACACAGAGATTGGCAGAGACACAGGCAGAGGGAGAAACAGGCTCCATGCAGGAGCCCGATGTGGGACTTGATCCCGGGTCTCCAAGATCACTCCCTGGGCTGAAGACTGATGCTCAACTGCTGACCCACCCAGGCATCCCTATAGTTAGTTTTAAATAGGAAATAAGTGTCTTCAGCTTGAAACACTTTGAGGCATTTTAAGTGTATCATAATAAAATTAAGATAACTTGAAGTTATTTTATAAGATGAATTTTGTCAAGAGAATGATGTATGTATCTTAAGTTTTTGTTGTGATTTCACAGATGAACTTATGAGGAAAAAGTTTGTCCCAGTGTTGAAAACATTGCTTGTCAAAATGTCTGCGAACCCTGATAACCAGCAGAGAGTATTGTTGCCTGGTAGGAAGTGGACCTCCTCATGTGTTAGCTGTACAGTCTCTTATTTCCTTATTTTTACAAAAGACTTTATTTATTTATTGATTCATGAGACACATAGAGAGGCAGAGACATAGGCAGAGGGAGAAGCAGGTTCCCTGCGGGGAGCCTGATACTGGACTCAATTCCAGGACCCTGGGATCATGCCCTGAGCCAAAGGCAGATGCTCAACTACTGAGCCACCCAGGTGTTCCTCTTATTTCCTTATTTACAGTGTTTATACTCTTCTCCTTTGTCGTGTTCTTGGGGGAATAGTGGTGTTTTTTTTTACTAGTGAGCAATAGTTATTTCTAAAACTCAGTGCTGAGGTTGTTTCCTTAGTACCTTGCATGAAGTCCTGGCAGATTGTGCCAGAATTCTGATGACCAGTAGGGAGGATCATGGTTAGAGGTATAGATTATTGTACCATAACCCCCTCAGAAGCATGTTAGGGCAGTTCATCCCTATTAAGTGGTTAAGTACTCTGACTCTGGAGTCACACTGTCTTAGCTGGTTACTTCTGCAACCTTGGACAAGTTGCTTTGCTCAGTATTGTCTTCTGAAGCAGGGTTAATGTGAAGGTTAAATGAGATGACCTATATATAACGACTAGAATAGTAGTTTGCATGTGGTAAACAGTCAATAAATGTTAACTAATGGTAGTTGTGTAAAATTGCTACTCCTTTAGTGTTCATCTTTAAAAAAAACTTAAGAAAATTTAAGTGAACATTAGAATTTTTTTAACACTAGAATTTTTAATTATAGTTCTATATAACTGATTACTTTTTCATTATTTGGCCAAGAATTGTATAAATTGAAAAAATTCATCTACACGGAGAAATATATCACAAAAATTCAAGTGTTTGATGACGTAAAATCCTAGCATAAGTTTTGGTGATATGTGCTGATACTATTGTCAGAACTTTGAATTTTTTTTTTTGCTCTAGGGGCATAAGGAAATGGTGGCAGGCACTTCCTCCTAACAAGAAGGAGCTATTTAAAGAAAGTTTAAGAAAGAATAAATGGAAGTTACTCCTTTGTTTCGGTAGTTTTGGATTGCTCTTTGTAGTGTTTTATTTTACTCACCTGGAAGTCAGTCCTGTCACAGGAAGGAGCAAGTTACTATTATTGGGGAAAGAACATTTCAGACTTTTATCAGAATTGGAATACGAAGCAGTAAGTAGTATGAATTGTTTGTAATTAGATTGCTTAATATAATACTCAAAGCAGGAAAAATTTCTTAAGTATGAAAGAGGCACTACTTTTTTGTTAGTCTTTGATAGAAAATTAACATTTTCCTGAAAGGCCTCCAACCTTTCATACTCAGTATTCCAACTGCCTACGTTGCTTTTCTTCTCATTTCTTCCTTCTCATGACATGTTACCTTGAATGTCACTTTCTCAGGAAAGCCTTCCTTGATTATCCAGACTGGGTTAGGCAGGTTGGCTACAGTAGGCTTTGAGGGTATACTTCATACAGACTAAATTATAAATCAGCTCATTTGTAATTGTGTCCAGTGGTGGCTATATTGGGGTGAGGACTCCTACTTTTATTTTCTTGCTTTTTTTTTTTTTTTTAAAGATTACTTATTTATTCATAAGAGACACAGCGAGAGGGCAGAGACATAGGCAGAGGGAGAAGCAGGCTCCATGCAGGCAGCCCGATGTGGGACTCAATCCTGGGACTCCGGGATCATGCCCTGAGCCAAAGGCAGACGCACAACCACTGAGCCACCCAGGTGTCCCACCTACTTTTATTTTCCTTGCATACTGTGCTTTTCTTTTAAATCACTTATCATGAGGGTAACAATAATTATTTGCATAATTATTTATATGCTGATCTGTCTCCTTTGTTAGACTAAGCTCTGGGAACAGGCCCTGTTTTATCATTTTATCTTAAGTACTAGCACAATGTACAAAGTAGTGCTTAGTATGTATTTTTTGGATAAGTAGGTATGTAATAGAATTTTTACCTTGAAAGTAATGTAGAATAAGATTTTTTCCCCAAAAACATCATTTTTGGCAATTTATTATATTTTTTGAATGCAAATTAAAGTTGTAATTCAGAAGTCTTAACTCCTTAGCAAATACAAGGTAAGCATTTTATACCACTAGTGAGTTTCTTGAGGATAGATCCTCTTTGACCAGTTCTTAGTGCACACATAATATGTGCTCAATTAGTATTTGTTGAATTAAAGTCTCGTAGTCTCACTTGACAGCTTTGGTGTGGCTAAATCTTTGTATTTTTAAATTTCAGTTCAACTTGAGTTTGTCCATGGAAAGTTACCATTAAAAAAGAAATAACAATGTATTTTCACTAAAAAGATTGTTCCCAGTAAAGATAAGATGCATCTCTTCTAGTTGAGTTTATACAGAGATTGGAGATGTTTCTTAGAGTAGTCTTGTCTGAAGCAAGTTTGAGGAAAATGTTGTGGAAGGATTGAGACAGGCCTAGTGTTAAATCAGTATGTCTTCTACCATTTATATCATTTAGAAGCTTTAAAAAATTATATATGTGTTTGTATGTGTTCTTTTTTTAAAGATTTTATTTATTTATTTATTCATGAGAGAGAGAGAGAGAGAGAGAGAGAGAGAGAGAGAGAGAGAGGGGCAGAGAAATAGGCAGAGGGAGAAGCAGGCTTCCCTGCAGGGAGCCTGATACAGGACTTGATCCCAGGATGCTGGGATTGTGATCTGAGCCAAAGGCAGACGCTCAACCACTGAACCACCCAGGTACCCCTATTCTTTTTATTTTTTAACCTACAAATGTAATAACTTGATACGAAAATTCAGGGATGCCTGGTTGGCTCAGCAGTTGAGCATCTGCCTTTGGCTCAGGGTGTGATCCTGGAGACCAAGGATCAAGTCCCACTTCAGGTTCCCTGCATGGAGCCTGACTGTCCCTCTGCCTATGTCTCTGCCTCTCTCTCTCTCTGTGTGTCTCTCATGAATAAATAAATAAAATCATTAAAAAAAATTCAAACACACATTTTTATACAGATATTATAAAGCACTATAATTCTATATAATTTTGTTTCATCCACTTCAGAAGGGTTAATATATAATTTTTTTTGTTGTTTCAGTTTACATTGGTGACTTATGCTTTTTAAAAATGCTATTGATAAAAAGACTGTTTCAGATCCCAATTCTACAAAATCATCTTTTTTTTAAATACATCTCAGGGAAGGTTATCAAGTTCTTGATCCACATGTAAAAGAAGTTTTACATTTTATGGAAATTAAAGTAATATTTTCAAAACATGTTTAATTTTCCTACACTTGAAAGGGTTTCTTATGGAATATAGCTTCAGAAAAAGTGTCTTCATTTGGTGGCTAGTCTTACTCAACATAGTATAGAGGAAATTGCATGCCCATTAGTTTTAAAATTTCAGTAATTTCCTTTCATTCTGTGTGAATGAAACACTTTAAAATTAATGAAATGTCTTTTTTTTTGGTAGAAGTTTAAGTTTTTCAGTAAGTATATAGGGTGTTTTTCTATTCAGTGGGTTATGAAAGTAATTTTCTTTTTGTATTACACTTCCTTATGTGAAATCTCTGTTCCCCAGGCAATGTTTTGTTTTCTGAAATATTTAGGAAAGTAGAAATCTGAAGCATTTTCTTTCTTTGTAGACTAATAGAAAAAGATGAAAGTTTTTCAACCAATTTATATGAAAAATATTAGTTAATAGAATTTATTCCATTTGCATTGCCTTTGCATGAATAATTCAATTTAAGGATTTGAGTGTTTAGAATATGTAGATTTTACATAATTAAAAATTAAAATGTTCAACAATAAGTAGCTATATAAATCTTCATAAAGCAATATAAACATTTTGTGGAGCTAAAACTCCTTAAAATAAAGATGACTTTTTAATCTTTCAGTGGATGGAAGAATTTAAAAATGATATGCTTACTGAGAAGGATGCCCGATACTTAATGGTTAAAGAAGTAGTTAATCATTTGATTGAATGCAATAAAGATATTCCAGGGGTCTCTGAGATCAATTGGATTATCCATGTGGTTGATTCTCCAGATGTAAATGCCTTTGTGCTTCCAGTAAGTAAAAGTACTCACACTATATTTTTAATTGTTAAATTTAATGTCCTTGCTTTTTTAAGGTGTTCCAATTGCTTACATTATTTTCTTTATGGTGCAGAATGGACAAGTGTTTATCTTCATTGGACTTTTAAATAGTGTGACTGATATCCACCAACTTTCCTTCCTTCTGGGCCATGAAATAGCACATGCAATACTTGGGCATGCTGTAAGTACCTAGAATGAATGTTTAGTTCTTGAAATACTGCTTTGAAGTTAGCAAGTCACATCTTTTAAAACTGAATCTTTTCAGGTTTGTTTTTCTTTAAAAGATGGAGTTTTAGTTTTTAGTCATTGACTAACTCTGTTATCTCAAAAAATAAGATTGGCTAATTTTGAGAATTTTTATAGTCTTTAGTATTTGATACCTGGATAATTAGTGTTTCTCTTAAATACTATTTTTATCACCTGTGCCTTTTGCAAAGAAGTAATTATTCTCAACCTCTAATTATTTTAAATTAGATTTTAAACTTCCCATAATTATTAACATACTTGTAGTCTGTTGAGAAAATTATATGAAAGTGATATGACTATTTAAGTGCTTAAATCCTTTTTCTTGCTTTTTTATTCATTCTCAGAGGATGGCTTGGAGCATTTCTGAAAATCTCTGGAATGATATGTCATATATAATTAATGCAGAGTAATAATAATGATACCTTGGCATTTTACAGTTTGCTGAGCTTTTAAATACAAACCTTCTCAATTATAATTTTAATACCATCCTCATTAACTACATATTTAACATCCCTATATTACATATGAGGAAACTCATGTTAAAAAGATTCTAGATAACTGGAGTAATGTGTCCAACTGGCGAATTGGGACTTTAATCCAGTTCTTCTGTTTGCAAATCCAGCACTGCTTGCTTTTACTGAAGTTACCTGGATATTGGCAGCACCTTTTTTTTTTTAATGGATCATAGAATTCAGGTTGATTTATGTTCCTGTGAATACACATCTGTTTGACTTGATGGGTCCAAAAAAACCAATGTATTTGTTTACTCATATATTATTATTCATTAAAAATAAGCATGTCTCTTTTGTCCACATTAATTAGAGAAATTAATTAGAAATATTTCCTGATTGAAAACATGAAGATAAATAGTGAAAGGATCATGAAATGCTATGTTGGAAATGCAAGTAACATTAATTTTAAATGAAAATGGTAATGTTATGAATTGCTGTAAAAATCATTTCAAATCCTGTCTATTCCTTAAAGAATTAGTAAATTGAAGTGGGCCACAATTTTACTTTTCTGACGCATAAATAGGAGTTATCTCCTTCATTTCTTCTGTGGTACAGAAAAATATAAAAAACATTTTCCGTAAACAGATATGTACAAGAATAAATCAAAATAGATGGTCTTTCAAGAAAGGGCTTCATCGCTGCAAAATCAATCAATTTTGGTCACTTTAAAAAACATTTAAGAGATGTTCATTTTCTGTATCTTTACTTTTCTGGCCTCTAGCTCAGTGCCTCATTCAGCACACTGTTGTCATTCCTATCAGTGGAGGAATGCTAATTAGATAAGATATAAAAAGAAAATAGCGGCCTTAAAAATTGAAAATAGTTATTAGTATTTCTTTGTAGAGGTCTTAGCCCTTATCAGCACTATATTTTCTCTTTTAGCAGTCTCCAGTTTGATTTGTTATAGCCTTCAGTGTTTTTTTTTTCTTCATTCCACAAATACATATTTAAAAAAGAATTTTAGTTTTCTAAAACTAATAGCAATTATATTCTTTAATAATTAATAACAAGGATTTTCTCTTCAATAATAACTTTATCTTTTGTAGTTTTACTCTTTTGTGCTAAAATAATTCCATAATTGTTTTTCATGACACACAGTTTGTATAATGAAGCAAAGAATGCTTTGTGAAGGCAGATTATATTGTTAAGAGAAGTGTTCTATGTGATTATTTTAAGTTGTCAGCCATGTTTCATACATTCAAGTAATGATTCCTGTATGAACAATGTCAGCATTATATTAACATTTATTTATCAACTTAAATAGGGAACAATGAACAATTCAGTGTGTTAAACTTGTAATTGGAAATTACTACTCAAAACAACTATTTTAACTAAAATTGGTTATTACTGTAAATAAATATAAAACTTCACAGAAGTTGATTTCCTAGTGAGAAATATCAGAGTGATAATTTTGCAGACTTGCCTAAATGAATCATTTGGTCATAAAATCCAAAAGACTTTTATTTAAAATAAATTTCCAATCTTCTTCTGAATTTTCCTTGTTTTAACTATTTCATATGTTAGGTAGTGTTTAGTCTGTCCAAAGGTATAATCATAATGAGCACATTTGTTTGCTTTAAAAACAATTTAATGACTACATTAGAAACTAAAACTTCCTGGGGTTTGATTTCTTGTCCTTTTACTAATAGCTTTGGGAATTTTGACAATTCTTTTAGTTTCTCTCCATCTTAGTTTCTTTATCAAATAGGGATAATTGAACCTATTTCACAAGATCTTATTATACTTATTAATATAAGAACCATAGGTTAATGAACTTATGTTCATATCTTTGAACCTGTCATTGTTCAGTTTCATCTATATGATGTAGGTGGCTCAGTAAATGTTAGCTGAATGAGTGAATATATATAAACATGTAAGCAAGTATGTAAGCAAGGGATGGAATAAATAAAGCACATCGAAGAAAAAGAACATGTGATCTTAGTTGGTGAAGGTCAGTTAAATGTAATTATTTAGTGTGATTATACATGATGAACTAGAAGATGTAGATATATGCTTTTTTGTACATATTCTCAATTTATTAAATGTAATTTTCATTATTTTGATTATTCTCAGGCAGAAAAGGCTAGCTTCGTTCATTTATTGGATTTCCTAGGTCTGATTTTTCTCACAATGATTTGGGCCATTTGTCCTCGAGATAGTTTGGCACTTTTGGGCCAGTGGATACAGTCTAAACTACAGGAGGTAAGTATGAGACAGTAAGTTGAATTTGTAATGGCCTGTGATAAGGATATTTTAAATATTACTCTAAAGTAACAGATACCTATTTTCACATACCATGAAACATAGCTACTAAATTTTAGTGTCTTATGTTTTCTCATTTTTAATAGATGTATATTTTTTAAAGATCTATTTATTCTAGAGAGTGAGCATGGTCGCCATGTACACGCACACACATGGACAGGGTGAGGGGTAGCAGGAGAAGGGTTAGAAAGAGAAGCAGATTCCCCATTGAGCGTGCAGCCGATGGGGTTTGACCTCACTACCCACAAGACCATGACCTGAGCTGAAACCAAGAATCAGAGGCTTAGTTGACTGAGCCACCAGGGTGTCCCATTAGGGGATATTCTTATTAATGAGCATTCAAATTAGAAGATACGATGACATCTTTTAAATGATGGGGGATAGATGGGTTACAAAGGCTTAGCAACTTTTGGCTAACATGATATGGAGGGGACATAGTTATTGGTCTTTTTTTTTTTTTTAAAGATTTTATTTATTTATTCATGAGAGACAGAGAGAGAGAGAGAGAGTCAGAGACACAGGCAGAAGGAGAAGCAGGCTCCACGCAGGGAGCCCAATGTGGGACTCCATCCCGGGACTCCAGGATCACCCCCTGGGCTGAAGGCAGGTGCTAAACCACAGAGCCACCCAGGGATCCCCCTAGTTATTGGTCTTAAGGAGAAAAAAGCCTTGTCACAAATCCTTTCCCTACTTCTGTCACTTTGCGTTCAGACTTTTCATTTTTGTCTCTCATAGTGACTGTGGCGTACTTACTAGATAACTTCCTTCCCCCAAATATTTACATTCTGATGGGGAACTTTTAAAACCTGTAAACTTTTATGGGCATGATGTTGCTGAAGCTGCCCTCATCTCCTTCCTCCCAGTTAAACTAGAATTACCTGGAAAATACCAAAAGGGTAGTTATATTAGGTGTTTGTTAACTTTATTTTTTAGTGCTTATGTATAATGATAGTCGTTGCAAAATTTATTGAGGTCATTTTGTTCAGCACACTCCACAACTGAAAGTAGGTCTTACAATCTTGATAATTGCTTTAACTATAATTAATTATTTTATTTCACATCTTTCTTCACATATTTCCTCCTGTCCTAGGAGGTTTGGTTATTCAGGAACAATCTGTTATTTGTTTATTTAATGATTTGTGGAGCACCCATCATTGTGCCATCTGGGTGCTGTTTAAATCTAATGTGTAAAATTCTTTGAGACAAATTGCTTTTGAAATTGGATAACTAAGCCTTTTATCCAGCGTTACCATATTGTTTGGCTGCATTTATATTGAAATAAAGGTTCTTAAAAGGAAAAAAAAAAAGAATGGTTATTGTTTAGGTTACAGGATCTCGTATTTTGAATTTTATTTCTGTTATTGATATGCTGGGTAAGTCATAGGAATTTGTGTAGTTTTCTCCCCATTAATTAGTATGTAGATTTTTTTCTGTGATGTAATCTGAAGATTCTGTCCTAAGAAAGATAACTTGTAGCTGTTTCTCCCTTGAAATATTTGATGAATCCTGCCACTTCATGTAATTCTTTAATAATTAAACTAAAAGTAGAGATCACTTCTCTTTGAATGCTTTTTCCCTAAATCAAGGCTCCTCCAGTTATTTTGGTGATAAGGATATGTTTCTCTAGAAGCCTTGCTCCAAGGGGATGCTGATAGTGAAGTCATAAAGGGAGGGGAATTGGCTGACATTCATTTGCCAGAAAAAGGAAGAAACAGGGGACTTTACATAACCATTGGGGGGTCCTATTTTTGTAACCTTAAAAGATTTGGGTATAAGGTAGCAGTCCTTAAAGAGTGCTACCAGGTAGAGTTTTGAAAACTATTAGTAATAATTATGGTAGCTGTTTATGGAGTGCTTACCATATGTTAGGCAGTACGTACACACTGTAGATTAATTATGTACAGGGGTTAAGAATATAAACTGTGAACAGATAGACCTGTTTTTGAATTTAGGCTCTGTTAGACCTAAATTCTTTTTTAAAAAAATACATATTTTATTGGAGTTCGATTTGCCAACATATAGTATAACACCCAGTGCTTATCCCATCAAGTGCCCCCCTCAGTGCCCGTCACCTAGTCATCCCATTGGCCTTCCTGCCTCCCCTTCTGCTATCCCTTGTTCGTTTCCCAGAGTTAGGAGTCTCTCATGTTTTGTCTCCCTCTCTAATTTTTCCCACTCATTTTCTCTCCTTTCCCCTATAATCCCTTTTACTATTTTTTATATTCCCCGTATGAGTGAAAGTAGACCTAAATTCTATATAACTTGGGTAGATTACTTTACCAATTGTAGGCCTCAGTTTCTTGGTCTGTAAATTGGCATAATACTGGCTAAACTCAAAGCACTGTTAGGGGTTTAGTGATGCATTTTAAAGTAAGATCCCTCAACCTAAGCACTATTGACATGTTGGGCTAGATAATTCTTTGTTGTGGGGAATTGTCCTGTGCATTGCAGGATGTTTAGTTAGCCTCTAAACATCTGACCTCTACCCACTAGATCCCAGTAGCACTTTTAACTGCCATCCTTCCTCTCCTACAGTAGTGACAATCAAAACTGTCTTCAGGGGCACCTGGGTGGCTCAGTCAGTTAAGTGTCTGACTCTTGATCTTGGCTTAGGTCATGATCTCAGAGTTGTGAGACTGAGCCCCACATCAGGCTCTGTGCTGGGTATGAAGCCTGCCTAAGATGCCCTCTCTCCCTCTGCCCCTGCACCACCTGTGTGCACTCTCTTTCTAAAGAAAAAAAAAATGTCTTCAAACATTTCCAAATGTCCCCGGGGGCAGAATCATATCCAGTTGAGAACCAGTGATTATAGAACGGTTAGCACAGGCCTTAGTACAAAGTACGGACTCAGTAAATAGGAGCTGTTGTCATTATTTGCTCATTTTATCCTGTCTGTAACCCCTGGAGGTTGGTGCTGTTGCTATTCCATTTTACATATGATACTACTGGGCTTAGAGGGGTTAAACAATTAGCCAGGGGTTCACAGTTAATAAGTGTCAGCATTTGGACTTGAGTGTAAGATTCTGTCCTTTTAAAGACAATGTTTTTAACCATTTACACTATCAGTAGACTTGATGGAACCCTGCAGACTGCTTGTTGAAAGTGAAGACTGATACATAGTTCAGCAACCTAGAAAAGACCTGATCATGAAGGAAGAAAGTCATATACTGTGGATCAGATTGATTATATAATTTCTGGACATCACTGACGTGTAGCTACCTCTGAAAAAGTATTTCCTCTATTAATAACTCTGTTCTCAAAAGTTCTGACTATTGATCCATCTCCTACAAATTTTAGTGCTTACTGAAAATACGAATTTAACTGGAAAGCATTCACATAAATACAAGTAATTAGGAAAGTTAAAAATACGATAGCTATTTATATTTTTTTATTGAAGTTGGAAGAAAATTTCATTTCCCTAACTAATCAATACCTCAAAAAGAAAGATGGAATTAAGATAATTTATCAAGGAAAGAAAATTCTGCTATTTGGTTAATTTCCTAACTGAAATAAATTCTCTAGTGGTGTCAGTGGTTATTATATAGCTATATTTTTTCAATTTTCTTTTAAAACTGCAAGATCAGGGGCACCTGGTGGCTTAGTGGTTGAGTGTCTGCCTTTGGCTCAGGTCCTGATCCCGGAGTCCTGAGATTGAGTCCCACATCAGGCTCCCTGCAGGAAGCCTGCTTCTCCCTCTGCCTATGTCTCTGCTTCTCTGTGTCTCTCATGAATAAATAAGTAAAATCTTAAAAAAACAAAAAACAAAACCCACAAGATCAGAATGTTCCTTGGCCATGTTAAAAGCTTGCATTAATAAGCTTTCTTAGAGGATCCTCTACACAGTAGGTAGAGGTTGTAATTGGGAAAATAGAAGTACAGGAATCCCCTGCTTTCTGAAAGTTCTTGTTATGTCACTTTCAGGCTTTTTTCATAAAAGCAGACATACTCTTTGGATTCTTTTGGTTAGTGAAAACAGGTACTAATGTAGGTCTTTAGTAAAAGCAAAGTAGAGTGAGGCAAACTTTTGGAAAGTGGGGGATACTTGTACTGTAGTATTCCTCTCCCATTATCCATGGGGTGAGGGGAGGGTGGGATATATTCAAGACCCCTAGTGGATAGGCTTAAAGCCTCAGATAGTATCCAATCCTATATATACTATGTTTTTCCCTATAAATACATATCTGTGATAAAGTTTTAAACACAGTAAGAGATTAACAACAATAACTGATAATAAAATACAACAGTTATTAACCACATACTGTAAAAAAAAGTTATGTAAATATGGCCTCTCTCAAAATATCTTACTGTACTCACCTGCTTGTGATGACATGAGATGAATGGTGAAGGGAGGTAAATGATGTAGGCATTGTGGCGTAGCATTAGGCTGCTCTAAACCTGCCAGTGTGTCAGAAGGACCTTGTGCTTCCAGACCCCTGTTAACTGTGGGTGACTCAAACCATGGACAGTGAAACTGGATAAAGGGGACTACCATACTCTCTGTGATACTATAGACTCTTCTGTAGTCTGTAGGCATAATTTTTTAAATATTCTTTTCATGTTTTTAAAATATTAATCTCTGATGGAAGAAATAAAGGCTGCCCTTTGAATGTTAATCATGGAGAGTGTAAAAACTCTATCCTAAATGTTCCATGAAATTAATTTTAAAAATCTCACTTTGGCACTCCTTTTGTTGTAAGATAAATATCCTTAATGGAGCTTCTCTTTCTTATCTCTTCTTAGTATATGTTTGATAGACCGTACAGTAGAACATTGGAGGCTGAAGCTGACAAAATTGGACTACAGCTAGCTGCAAAGGTAAAATGCTCAGAAGTTGAGAAAACAGAATGTCCTTCACACAGTACAAGATAAATGTACATCATCTTAATGAGCTGTGGCATGAGCCAAGAATGAGAGTTGGGCTGTATGAAATTTGTCATTAATACCTTTTTAAATTTGTGCACACTATACACTGATAGACTATCTTTATTTTACTCCTCTCCTTTGTTTCACTGATCTAAGGGTACTTTTCGAGTAAAGTCCTGTATAACGTTCCCCCCCCACCCCCTGAGAAAGGTTTATCCTATTGTCGCTATGATCCTAGATGAACAAATTGAATTTTTACCATTTAAATAAACAGTAGAAGGACAGGCTTATTACTCTGTATCTTTAAGACTGCTTTTGTTGCAGCAAATGACCTTTGCTAGCCACAGAAAGCAACTCGACGCCTTTACTATGATTTAAGTTGGCTTTGTTCATGTCTCCTTTCTAAGGGAACTCTGCATGCCTGCCTGCTATTTTTATCATCTGTGATAACTGAGCATTGTTAGTAGAATTTAATATTGGAAGTAAAACTGCATTTTTTAAAATGGTTAAAAAACAATGCCACTTTGTACATTAAATTCAAATTGTACTTGATTCTTTGTTGAATTTCCAGTAGTTATTGAAAGTCCTAGCTATTAAAAATCACTATTATTTGAAGTTCTTATTATGAGTTCTATGGATTTAATTTCATAAATGAAGATCCTGCTCATTCACAAAAGCAAAAGTAGTTATTTGAATGTTATATAATGAAAGTTAAGTGAATTATCTCACTGTTTAGATTAAGAAGTTCCCGAATAGTGGGCCACAAATTGGCTGTAACAAGAGTTTCCTAATTTTAATGTACTATATAGTCTATGGAATTTTCTCTTTAAAGTATGTTTTATGTTCTGGTTAAGAAACCTTTGCCTATTTCAATAAATTGTTACTGTTTTACTTCCAAGAAACTTACTTTATTATCTTTTTAAAATATAATATTAGAAAAAAAAATAATATTAGGAAGAAATCTAAATTGTTTTTTTTCCCATGTAGATATCTAATAGCCTCAGCACTGTTTATTGAAGAGTTATCTTTTCCCCACTATACTTCAGTGCTCTCTTTGTTGTAAATGTGGGAGGCTATAGAGAAGTCCATTTCTGGACTCCCTATTGTGTTCTGTTGTCTTTGAGCCAATACCACACTGTCACTGTAGCTTTGTAGTAAGATGTGATATTTGATAACATCTGTCCTCCAGTGTGGTTCTGCAAGATTGACTTGGCTATTCTTAGTCCTTTTCCTTTCCATTTAAATGTCAGAATCAGCTTATCAAATTACACACTTCTACAAAAACATGCTTGGGATATTGATTGGAATTGTGTGAATTTGGGGATGGTTGAGTACTGTTAATAATATTGAGTCTTCCAGCCCATGAGGGATATATTTCTGCATTTACATAGATGTTCTTAGATGTTTCAGCGCTGTTTTCAGATGCTGTGTGTGTGTGTGTGTGTGTGTGTGTATAGGACTTACACATCTTTTGTTAAATGTACTGCTAAGTGTTTGACATTTTTTGATGTTATCGTCAAGTATAATTTAAAAAATAAACTTCCTATGTATAGAAGTGCAATTTATTTTTTATAAACTTGTATCTGGCAACCTTGCTAAAGTCACTTAATTCTAATAGTGTGTAGATTCTTTTAGATTTTTTACATACATGTTTGTGTTACCCATGAGTAATAACAACTTTAGTTCTTCCTTTCCAATCTATGTACTTTCTTTTTTTACCTTATTGCAATGGCCAGAAACTTCAGTACAATGTTGATGGTGAGACTTTTATTTCTTCATGACCTTAGGGGGAGAGCATTCAATATTTCACCATTCTGATATCTGTTATAAGTTTTTTTTTTTTTTTGTAATCTGACTTTTTAGAAGAGTTGCCCTTCTATTTCTATTATGCTAAGAGAATTTTTTTAAATTATGAGTAGCTGTTAAATTTTATCAAATTCATTTTTTTTGTATTGAGTATACAATTTTTCTTCTTTAACCAGTAAATCTGGAAAACTACATTTATTTTTATTTTACACATTAGGACAACTTGCTATTTTTGAAATAAACCGATTTTATCAATTATATTATCCTTTCAGTATATTATTCAGTATCCTTTCAGTATATTATTGAAGTTGGCTTGCTAATGTTTTGCTTATTAGAATGTTTGTATCTCCATTCATAAGAGATACTGGCTTAGAATTTTCTTTTCTTGTAATGAATGTCCTGTCATGTTTTGGTATCAGGATTATGTTGTCCTCATAAAATGAGTTGGGAAGGGTTGTTTTTCTTTTTTCTGGAACAGTTTGTATAATATTAGTGACATATTATTTTTAAATGTTTGGAGATTTCATGAGTAAAGCCATATGAACCTACACATTTCTTTGTGGAATGGTCTTTAGTTATGGCTAATCTCTTTAAGAGATACAGAACTATTCACATTTTTCTGTGTTGTGCTAGCTTTTTTAAAAAAATTATTTACTTTAGAGAGAGAGAGAGAGAATGAGCAATGAGTCCATCGCAGAGTTTGATCTCATGACCCTGAGACCATGACCTGAGCTGAAATCGAGAGTTGGAGGCTTAACCGACAGAGCACTTGAGGTGCCCCAGTTTTGTGTCAGTTTTTATAAGTTTTGTTTTTTATAGAAACTTAGGTTTTATTTAAATTCTCAACATTATTGGCATAACGTTTGTCAATATGCATATATATATATCTATATTTGTATTTTATATATTTTTATTGAAGTATAGTTGACACACAATATTGCATTAGCTCCATGTGTATAAAACAGGGATTCGACAACTCCATATGTTATACTCACCGTAAGTGTAGCTACCGTCTGTCACCATGCAATGCTGTGACAGTACCATTGACTGTATTCCCTATGCTGTACCTTTCATCCTGTGGCTTATTTATCCCATAACTAGAAGCCTGTATCTCCCGCACCTTCATCTGCTTTGCCTGTCCCTCATGCCCCTCTCTTTTGGCAACCTTCAGTTTGTTACCTTTACTGTATTTTTAATGTCTGAAGGATATTGCATTCTATATATGTATTTTATTTATTTACTGAAAATCTAATTCAGTTTTATTTAAGGAGTTTCACATGGAACTCCATGTGATTCCTTCCACTGTCAATCACTTTAGTTCTTCCAGAGTTTAAGTCAAAATCTTCAAGGTAGCCGTTTTCTAAAGTCATGTGGTGTGCCTGGGTGGCTCAGTCAGTTAAGTGTAGAACTCTTAACTTAGGCTCAGGTCATGATCTCAGGGTTGTGGGATCAGACTCTGCGTCGGGCTCAATAGAGAGTTTGCTTGAGATTCTTGTTCCCTCTCCTTCTGCCCTTCCTACTCCTTGCTCACACACTCTTTCTCTCTCTCTAAAAGTAAGTAAATGAATCTTTAAAAAGATGCTTTGCTCAGTCCACAGTTCTTTTAGTTGGGCTTCTTTGATCTCTACTTGAATATGCACGTGCTTCAGAAATTCAACAGCTGTAATTTTTGGGATCCAGTGTCTTCAAGCAGTTTCCTTTAGGGCCACAATTAGGGTCTGAGTAGATGGATCTGCCTAGTTCTCCATTTCAGACACCCTCTAAACGTGAATAAGTTCAAACTGTATTCACTCCTGAACTGTCACACTCTAGCATAGTAAAGATTGTTGGGATATGCCAATACCTAAGATTAAAATAATTTGACTGTTAGTTCTTTCATAGTATTAGCAGATCTGTCTTGTGGTTCTTTCCCACAGATAATTCACGTTTCAGCATGTATATTTTCTGTCACGTCTTGTGAGCTCACTGATCTTACTTTCAGTTGCGTCCATTCTGCCATTAAACCTGACTTTTAAATTTTAGTTATTATACTATTCCATGCTAGAATTTCTCTTTGATTCTCTTATAAATTACAATTCTCTGGGGAAATTCTCTATTTTGTCATAATTTTATTCATATTTTTTGAATATGTTAATTGTAGCTTTTTTTAAACATTCATGTTTATTAACTATTTGCATTCTCTCTGGGTCTGTTTCTATTGTTTGTTTTTTGCCTTTGGTCTTGTTCTTGATATGCTTGCTCATTTTTTTTTTAAATAAATTTATTTTTTATTGGTGTTCAATTTACCAACATACAGAATAACACCCAGTGCTCATCCCGTCAAGTGCCCCCCTCAGTGCCTGTCACCCATTCACCCCCACCCCCCGCCCTCCTCCCCTTCTGCCACCCCTAGTTCGTTTCCCAGAGTTAGTAGGAGTCTTTATGTTCTGTCTCCCTTTCTGATATTTCCCACACATTTCTTCTCCCTTCCCTTATATTCCCTTTCACTATTATTTATATTCCCCAAATGAATGAGAACATATAATGTTTGTCCTTCTCTGATTGACTTATTTCACTCAGCATAATACCCTCCAGTTCCATTCACGTTGAAGCAAATGGTGGGTATTTGTCGTTTCTAATGGCTGAGTAATATTCCATTGTATACATAAACCACATCTTCTTTATCCATTCATCTTTCGATGGACACCGAGGCTCCTTCCACAGTTTGGCTATTGTGGGCATTGCTGCTAGAAACATCGGGGTGCAGGTGTCCCAGCGTTTCATTGCATCTGAATCTTTGGGGTAAATCCCCAACAGTTGCTTGCTCATTTTTTATTGAATCCTAGACATTTCATATAAATAGTACTGTTGGCTCTGAATGATAATTTCTTCTGGTAATGGGGATTCTCCCTTTAGCCTGGAGGACTAGAATAGTCCAGAGTATTTCAGTCAGTCAGAGCCTGAGCTGAGACTTCATAAGTTTGAATTTACCTCTACTTCGCCTTCATTCATAAAGGTATTGCTGTTCAGGGAAGTCTACTGAGGCATGGAGTATTTGCTAAGTTCCTTCTGTGTAGTGGTTTTTGCACTTCAGTTTTTCATCTGCCAGCACCATGAGACTGTTGAAATGAAACTGTCTACTCAGTTTTCATTCATTTTAAGTGTCC